AAATGTAGGAGCTAAACAACTTATGACACATGGACATGAACTAAAGGGGGGAATGTGGGTGGAGGAGGGTGTGCAGGATGGAGGGGCGTAATGGGACAACTGTAATAGCATAATCAAAATATTTTTTAAAAAGTGCTTTGAGCCCTGGCTGGCATAGCTCAGTGGACTGAGCACGGGCTGCGAACCAAAGTGTCGCAGGTTTGATTCCCAGTCAGGGCACATGCCTTGGTTGCAGGCCACAGCCCCCAGCAACTGCACATTGATGTTTCTCTCTCTCTCTCTCTTTCTCCCTCCCTTCCCTCTCTAAAAATAAATAAATAAAAAATTTTTTTAAAAAGTGCTTTGAAAAAAAGGGTCTTCCCCCCTTAATTCTGGCTATTATTATGAATTCATACATATGTAGCTACAAAAAAAGGTCAACAGTGTTTATAAGGACAAGTTCCAAACTGATAGTAAGTGGATGCTTCCCAAGGGTCCTGGGATCTGGAGTCATGTATTTCACTTTATCTGCACTATTCTAATCTTTTAGGAAACTCTATTCACATATTACTTGGTACGTTTTTAAATTTGTAAAAGCCAATGCAAGGACTAACAATACTAATACAGAGTGCAGGGTTCTCAAACTTTGGGGATTTTAAGAGTCAACTAGGCATTGTTAAAAACTGGGGTTGCCCAGGCTCCATTCAGACTTAACTAACCAAATATCTCTAGCTAGACAGAAATAAGTAAATGAGGCCAGGCCATTTATATTTTAAAAAGCTCTCCAAGTGACTCTGGTAACTTGATTACTGCTGCTACTACTACTACATTATTATTAACATTAATTGTACATGTTATGTATTAACCCATTTATTATATGTTAGCCACTATTCTCAGCACTTTACATATATTATCTTTAATCCTTGTAAAAACTCCTTAAGGAGGCACTACTACTAAAATCATCCTCCCTTCACCCTCATTTTATAAGTGAAAACATTAAGATACAAAGAGATGATTTAACTAGCCCAAGGCACAATGTCACAGAGCTAGTTAAGTGGCAAAGCCAGATGTACAATGAAAATCATTCCTAACCTAAGACAATAGCTGTATACACTGGTCAGGTCAAATCAAATTGTTTTATTTCAAACACTGCATTTAAAAGACTCTAACAAAAACAGAGTTGCCTAAAGAAAGCATGCTGAAATCCTATTAAACCAGGATGGATTTACATACCTCCAGCATAACAGCATCTATTCATAACATTCTATCTGTCTGTCCTAGATTGTGAGTCCCTGAAATGTGAGGGCCATGTATGTCTTCAACTGTATTCTCCTGGTATCTGGTGCCTAACAAAAGAAAGGGTTTAATACTTTAATTAATCAATACATCTAGAAAGGGCCTGATGACTGTCCTAGGAAATGAAATGTTGTTTCGGAGGGGATAATTAAAATCAACAGGTAAAAAGGGGAGGTGGAAATTGTGGTAATTTCATAAAATACCTTTCTAGCAACTAAGACCTGTCCAGTAACAATGAAATATGTCTGCAGTTTGAGGCTGATGATCAAACTATAGTAAACAGAAGGATGCTGGAATACAGGGCCTCTAAAAACTTGCCTAAGGCTCAATTTCTATTATTCTAAGTTATAATACATTCATTTGTTCTTTTTTCTGAAAAATTTTACTTATTTACTTTCAGAGAGAGAGGAAGGGAAGGAGAAAGAGAGGGAAAGAAACATCATTGTGTGGTTGCCTCTCGTGCACCCCTACTGGGGACCTGGCCCACAACCTAGGCATGTGCTACGACTGCGAACTGAACCAGCTATCTTTTGGTTCACTGGCTGGCGCTCAATCCACTGAGCCACACCAACCAGGGCTGATTTATTCTTTCATACATTACATAGTGACTAGTTACACAAGACTCAGGAGTAAGCAACAGAGGATACCACAAAGTGTCTACAAACTCATAGTGCCCTCAAGGATCTAGACAAGAGTAAATGCACAGGAGTGAGCATCCAAGGAGGAAAATAAGAAATATATACAACAGAAAACAGCAAGGACACAGGAAGAAAGTCAACAAAAATGTTAAGGAAGAAATGCTGCCATTTTGAGCTAGATCTTTAGGGATCTATGAGGAAAGGCAGAATCTGAAGCTGCCATAGAATCTATGGGGGGGAAAGCATTCAGTGTGGCAGTACAGATCTGAGCATAAGGGAACAGAGAACCCCTCGGGTGGTGAAACAATTAATGAATTCTAGTGCTGAAACTTAAGTCCTTTAGAGACCATTTAGTTACACATACATTTCGTGAATGTCCCTGATTGCACTGCATTAAAAAAAAAAAGATTAATTTAAGATTTTATTTCTTCTTAGACAGAGGGAAAGGGAGGGAGAAAGAGAGAGAAACATCAATGTGTGGTTGCCTCCCGAATGCCTCCCACCAGGTACCCTGCCCCCAACTCAGACCTGTGTCCTGACTGGGAATCAAACCAGCGACCTTTTGATTTGTAGGCCAGCACTCAAACCACTGAGCCACACCAGCCAGGGCATAAAAAGATTAATTTCTTAAATTACACTTTACAAACCAAAAACCATTTAATCAGTAATTTCTTCTTTACTTAGTTGTGTGGGGTTTTTTGTTTGTTTGTTTGTTTTTACAACTAATAGATCTTTCTCTTATCTGCTAGGAAATCTTTTATATGATTGTATTTAAACAGTTGTTATTTTTCGCTACTATCTATTCTTTTCACTATTTAATATGACAAACTGATGGTTTCAATAACTCAACTCTAATATTTATAATCCCTTCAATGGTTATAATATTTACTAATAGTACTACAAAATAAAAGTACTACATAATAATCTAAAAACTGTAAGTAGTAGACTGCTATGACTACATGGAGTTTCAAAAAACAAATTTAAGCCTCCAACCCAAGAAACTATCTCACCCAATTTATAAATCATGAGACTAAGTCACTTAAGAAAATAAAATTAACAAAAGACTGAAGCAAAATTCACATTCACATTCAAATTCACATTTGAACAATAAACTTAATGTTCTAGTCAAAATTATTTCTCAACATCCCTGTCAAACTATTTTAAGGATATGAAATCTTCCTCTATAAAAAGCAAGTTCCCATCATCTGAACTACTCTGAAGAGATTCTATCACAGCACTTAATGAAGCACAACGCACCAAGTGTCAGATTTTTGCTTCATATTAGTAAAAAAAATGCTTACCTCTTCTACATCAAGTTGAGTCTGTAGCCAAAATCCTGACACAGTAGACCTGGGTTTTCAGTTCTAACACAAAAATCTAAGTTTAGCAAAGACTTTTTCTTTGTCACTTAGATCATAACATGGAGATACAATACTTAATACCTCCACCCTCTCTTTATTTGCCACTTAGACTATTACAGGGAGATACAATATTTGATATCTCCACCAACAGTCTCTTCAAAGGATTTTTAACTTAGCTGAGATAATATAAAGCTATGGCTTAAAACTCAGTAAAAATTAAAACTTTAAAAATCTAAACACGTTGGTAGATAAACAATGAATTACAGAAAGGGAGATTTGAGTAACAATTGCTAAAAGGAGGGGGGAGTTACACAATTTTACAAAGTTGAATAAGCAAACAGCTCACCAAAATTTAAATCTTTCTTAGCAAAAGGAGAAGATAAATAATACTGAGTAACTCTGGGACACAGTAGTGTTACTTTTGCTACCTATTACATACGGTCTGTGTAAGTCAATGTTACTATTCTCCCACTCCCTTGATGAGCAAAACGAGCCCTCTCCAGAACTCCTCATACCAAGTGCTCAGTATACGTCACTATTAATTAATAATCTCATAATGGTAATAATAAAAACAACTTCTAAGGCTAGAATTCATAACCTACTGTGGAACCCGCCAGGCACATGGCAGCACGCAACTATTTCTCCTTCCTGACGCTTCTGCATCACTGCCTCCCAAAGGACTAGAGAATCTGAAGCTTTCACTGCCACATCTACAAATTAAAGTATCATGTTTAAAGAGCTCACAGGTTCTACGAACGGTCAATATTTAATGAACGAACCCGAAGAAAGAGAAACTCACCCCGACGCAGCAAAACATGCTTTAAGGCTCCGCCTAATTTTTTTTTAAATTTTAGAAACAAACACAACTATTTTAAAAAAATATTATGTAATAAGTTAGACTCTGGAAAACCCCATACTCATCCGATCGGCTAGGCAAATAGAAAGCAAAATTCGATTAGCTCCATTGTACCTAACCAGGCTAAAATGCAAGATCACACACTCGTCTTCGTCACAGCGTCCCTGCCAATACCAAAGAACAACAAAGGCAAGTTGAAGGGGCTGCACAAGGCTTCACTCAGCACTTGTCCACTTTAACAGGTTCCGAAAGAAGCTATCTGTGGGCCTCAGGGACCAAGGGGACTCCCTCCGCATCCCGCCAGGCCCGCTGCTCGGCTCAGAGCCGCAGCTTTTGTCTGGCTGGGCTGGAAGCCCCGGCCTCCGGCTTCCCCCATACCCTTTCCCTCTGGATCCTTCTCCACACCCATCACTCTGCGACTAGCTGTAGTAGGTTTCTCTCCCTTGACCCCTCCCCTCGCAATTCCGGGCTCTTTTCAAAAGCGACTTGGGGTGCGCTGTCTTCTCCTACCCAGCCAGGGTGACTCAGGTCAGGGGTGGAGTCTGGGACAAGAAAAGAGAAAGGGGCACACAAAGCAAAGCTGACCTCACAGCCGCCGCCTCACCCCCACCCCCACCCCCACCCCCACCCCCACCTTTGCACATCGGCCAGGAATCAGCAAACTACTGGCTGGGAAAACAACCCTCCCATCCCGCTCCTCACCGGGCTTCCCACCTAGGGCCGCCCCCTCCTCCGCAAAGTGTATACAAGAACCCAAAAGGGCACAGAACATCGCCCCCACCCAGTCCCAGCGCCCTCCACCGCGGGGGAGGAGGCAAGGGGCAAGGGAGGACTGGGGTCTGAATCTCCTAGCCCTAACCGGGTACTTACAGCCATATTATTCGTTGTAGTTGCAGCTGCCTTACCAGACCGCCACCGCCTTCTCCTCCACCCTAATGAGGTTAAGTGCTTGGTGCTGGTATTAAAAAAAGAGAAAGAAAGAGTGTGTGTGTGTGTGTGTGTGTGTGTGTGTGTGTGTGCGTGTGTGAGTGAGAGAGAGGGAGAGAGAAAGAGAGAGAAAGAGAGAACGCCTGCGCAGTGCGCTCTCCCTTTTCCTTTCCCCTCCCCTTACCACCACCGACCCAGCTGGACCATAGAGTGTAAACGGAGACCAGAGAGGCGCTGCTTCTCTAACGTAATACCCCGCGCAGGCTCCCGCTTGGCTGCACGGAGCTTCGTAAACTGAAAATCCTGGGAGCGCTCGCCTCCTCAGAGAACATTAGTTGACCCTGATAGGGACCCATAGGTGGCCTGGGTGCAGCTGGGCCGCTGAGGAACTTGCGACAAAACTCAAGCTACACAATTAGGGTCGCATCTAAGCGCCCAAGCAATAGGACACTAGAAAGCCCTACTATGGTGAGTACAGCTAAGTAGCAACCAGCATAAAAGCCGTCTGGCTGGAATTCCCTCCGGTCGAGGGTCTAAAACCTGAGGGAAATGTTTGCCTTTTCAGTTCTCGTTGGCACGCGTTCAGGACGACTAGGGTGAAGTAAATTGTGCCCTGCGACCTTCCGTACCCCACGTCCCTTATCTCTTCTAATGTTGCGTGGACTCTTGAACCGGAAGAAGAACATTTTAGTGGTTCTTTGCCCTATTTGGAGCGGCGTACCCGCTGGAGTCGTCGAAGAACTTTGGGATAAGCTCTTTTTACTTGACCGTGTACTCAACGCTGCTTCTGCCGTAACTCGAATAATTCTCCAATGGTACTGTGTGGGAAGGCGTTTCAGAGACCAGAAGGCTGTGCAAGTTGTAGGGCTGCGCAAGTTATAAGGCTGCATTCAAGGATCCTAAAGGACCCAGTTTTTGCCGCTTAAAGACTTTGCGCTCCTCAGTAGTTTGACATTGTAAGCTTTGTGTGCGATTATACACCGTCTCCTGGAAATAACCCTTAAGAGTATGTGTTGACTTCCCTCCATCTGGGTGTCTAGTGCATTGACTTTTCACTGGTTATGCACGCTGACGAATTGTGTATGTTTTGGCAAAAGGGTGGGAGAGAATGGTAAGAGAATGCCCAGGGACTTAAATGTTATGGTGGAGAGACTAAGCTAAAACAAAAAAAACATGGGTAGCCCCCTCTGCGTAGTGCGGAAAAGGGAGGACTGTAGTCCGTAGAAATAGGAATGACATAGGAATGTGATCACTGGAATCCAGAAAAGGTAACATCTTTGGGTAGAAAGTGCAAGCACCCTTTTGAAAATGGATAGGTTATGAAAAAAGCCTTCCAGAGGAGAAACCATGGGACAAAGGCTCAGGGACTGGCAGTAATAAAGAGACCAATTTGAAGGCAAAATGCATATATTGGGTTGACCAAAAAGTTCGTTCGTTCGTTTGTTTGTTTGTTTGTTTGTTTTCGTAGGTGGCTCTAATAGCAGAAAGGATAAAGCCAGTGCAATTTGCTATTTTGGCACCACTTGCCACACTTGCCAAATAGGCCTATGAGCTTTTTAAACAAGATTGTCTTTTACTCTTCTGAGCTTATGTCTCCAAAGCTGGAAATTACTGCAAAGCAAGAACAGAACTTGACTAACCACTCCATACGACTACAGGCAGAAGATAGCATTGGTACAAACGGCAGCTTATGCAAAAACCAACCAAAACCTCAGGTTACAACTCCCCCCAACAGCTCGGGCCTCCCAACAGCAACCGCCCCACCCATTTATACTCCTATTATAAGTCAGTAAAAGCTCAAAACCCCCACTCCTCAATGCTAGTGTATCTCTCCACACCATGATCTTCTCCTGTCTTGGAGAGAGAATAAAATCTTTACGCTCTGCTCTTTGTGAGTTCTTTCACAGCACATATCACCAGCCACCCTAACAGTAGCACTTGGTTGTCTTTAACTTAATTTAAAACATTTTGTTAGATTGTATTGTGACAGCTGTCATGTCAGTGTGCATTTAAAAAACAAAATCAGTGAATGTGGAGCCATTTTAATATTGTTGATGGAAGATAATATGCAACATTTTTGGCATATTGTGCTTTATTATTTCAAGAAAGGTAAGATCATGCAGTGTACAGAGAAGGTGCTGTGACTGATGGAATGTGTAAGAGGGGGTTTACAAAGTTTCATGCTGGTGATTTGCTGGATGATGTTTCACGGTTGAGTAGACCAGTTGAAGATGATAGCAATCAAGACATTAATTGAAAACAATGTTATACCATGCAGGAGCTAGCCGACATACTGAAAATATCCAACTCAATATAAGTTATTGGTGAAAATGAAAGATGGATCTTTTATTTATGGGAAAAACTAAATGGACTGTTCAGCCAATCCAATATGACGAGTGGAAAGTAAGGTTTGATGAATGGGATGGGGAATTTTTTAATTTTTAGTTGTAAATAAACAAAATATCATTTTAACCGTTTTTAAGTGTACAGTAGAGTAAGGGCATTTACAGTGCCATGCAGCATAACCATAACTCCTCTTACAAAACGAATTCTATACCTGTCCCTCTTTCCTCCTGCCCCCGCTCCTGGCAACCACCATTCTACTCTTTGTATAAATTTGACTACTAAGATGCCTTATGTAAGTGGAATCATACAGACATATTTGTTTCATTGTGACTGCCTTATGTCACCTAACATAATGTCTTCAATGTTTATGTTGTGTGTCAGAATTTCCTTCCTTTTTTTAATGTTGAATAATATTTCACTGTGTGTATATATACCATGATGGACACTTGGGTTGCTTATACCTTTTGGTTATTGTGAATAATGCTACAATGAACATGGCCATGCAAATATCTCTTTGAGACCTGGCTTTAAATAGGATGGGGAAGATTTTGAAATCAGGGGGATAAATCCATACTGTGTCAGACCCTCCACTTGGGGAAAGAACTGTTTCAGAAAGTGATGCTGACTATGGAAGCTTAATAAAGCATTTATGGAGCCTTTAAGATAAGCTAGGCATTGATTACCACTTTAGATAAATTATTGCTATATCACTGAAGGCATCAAGATAAACATGAGCCAGTTATTGGCTGCATTTTATAGGTGTGAAAATCAAGGTTTGGGGTTACAGATGGGCTGAAGGGAGGCTCACCAACCATACACACACACACACACACACAAGTAATTATGAAATAAAACCGGGAGCTCAGCACCCATGGGCACTGACTACTCACTGGTTTGGGCAAGAATATTCAAAGAAAATATTTCACATGTCAAGAGTGAATTTTCTCAGAAGAAAGAATAGGCTGGCACCAAGAGATTTCTGTCAAAATACTGAATCGTTTAAGAGTTTAACACAGTAAAACTGTATCTTCTAAGGTCCCTAAAGAACACTGAGGTTTGACTCCAGGTATGTTTATTGTCTTAAAAAAAATATAAAATACCATGTAACTATATCTTTCTAGGTAATAAAAAATAATAAAACATACCACTTTATGCTTAATACTTCCTCTTGGATTTTACATTCTCAAACTTCCTGTGAGATCATTTAAAGCAATAATCTTTTGGCAGATGAGAAAATTGAGGTCCAGAAAGGAAATATTATTTACCCCATGTCATATGGCTGGTCGATGCCAAGACTGCCACTGAAATCTGGACCTCCATAATTCTCGCTCTGCTTTAGGGTCCCTTACAAAGATAGACACCATAGTCTGAATGGACAGTGTTTCTATTCCATCAGTTTCATCTTTCTCAAAATACCCAAATTCCATGAAGCTAATGCTATTTACACAATGAGGCAGAGGACATAAGCATTATAAATAGCATTCATACACTGAAAATTATTGTGTACCAACTGTGTGCCAGACACTTAGGAGAGCAGAGAAAAATCCCTGTTTTGACAGGATATAGAAAAGTAATATATATATCAAGTAGGATAAGTATTGTGGGAAGAATGAAGTAGTGAGGGGGAAATGATGAGTACAGAGGGAAGAGATTTCTGTTTAATTAGGACAAGGAGAGTGGGTGACTCACTGAGAAGCAAATTTAGCAAAGATCTGAAATAAACAATGGAAAAAGAAATGTACTTTATCTGGGAAAAGAGTGTTCCAGTGGAAAGAATGGAAAGTGCATAAATTATTCTGATGCAAGAGGATGTCTGCTACATCCTAAGAACAGAAAAGAGGCCAGGGTGGCAGAAGCAGAGTATGAGAGAAGAAAAGTAGGAAATGAGGTTATAGGTAACAGGATACCAAATTGTGTAGGAATTTAGGGCATTGTGAGGACTAATGAGGGGAAGACATTGGAAGGTTTTCAGCAGAGAAGATGATTTGCCTTCTATTTTTTAAATAATGACTTTAGCTTCTGTTTTGAGAACAGATTGTAGGGGACCAAGAGGGTGCAACTTAGGAGGTTGCTGCAGTCCTCCAACTGAGAGACAATGGTGGGTGGCTTAAAATGCAAGCAGTGGAGAGGTGAGGTATCTGGAGGTATCCAGGTAACATGGTACACAGGATTTAATTGATTAATTAGTTGATACAGGGTGCGAGTAAAAGGAGAGTTAGATGAATTCCAAAATTTTGGCCTGAGCAATTTGAAGAATGGAGTTGACACTTAAATAGGGAAAAATGGGAAGAGATTAATTTTTGAGATGTTAAGTCCCAGGCTAGTTATGTAGATTTGGGAGACATCAGTATGTAGAGAGAATTTAAAACCTTGAAATCATCTAGATGTTGACTATACACAAATTTTTAAAGACTATCTAAGGATCCACTATCTGGAGCACTCCAGCACTTAGGGATTGAAATGGTAATGAAACCAAAGAGGATAGAAAGAGCAGCCACTAAAATATAAGGAAACCAAGAAAGGATATCAGGAAGAGCCACCAAGTGAACAGCCAAGGGTCTACAATTGACCATTGGCTACAATATTGGAGAAGTGAAGATGAAGGCCTGATTGGAATCAGTTCAAAAAAGAATGGTAGGAATAGAATTGGCAAGAGAAAAGATAGGTAATTTGCTGGAGGAATTTAGTTTTAAGAGTAGGGGGGCATTGAATTCTGGTTCAGATGGCAAAATAGGTAAATGCAGTACTTGTATCCTCCCA